TTTGCCAACTTGCCAACATTCAATCATGGTTATGCTTGTATTGCGAGTTAGAATGAAAAGGATCATCAACTTTGTCTATGGAATTTTCCTTGTTGTAAGTTTGTAGAATGTTACAAATGCTTGACTTTATTGTACTTTCGTGATCTTTTATTAGAAGAGGAGAACTCGCGATTTGCAAATTTGATGCTGTAATAAATTCGCATTCTTAAAAAAAGTTTGACCAAATATTGCAGTGGAAACTGTGAACATGTACGGAATGGCACTGGTATAATGTTAAGACTCTTCAAGATGCTCTTTCCAACATTCAGATTTTGGTTGTGACTGAGAAGCAATCCACGAAGGTGTCTTCAAGTTGCATAATGTAATTTAAATAGCACGATGAAGGAGCAGTCAGCCCACCAAAGTTGAGTTCTTTATATGCCTTGAAATAGCAAAGCAAATTACCATCGTTGTTTATGTTATTTGAAGTCAAAACGTTCTTACATTGGAGACAGCTGTGGATTTTGAAAGCTTTGCTTAGCAAATATCCTGAAACATAGGCAGCAGCATTTTTGAGCAATAAATTGTTGCTAATATTTTGTTCTCGGTAGTCATTTTCACCAATCAACAGTGAGTTACTTGGAGCTTTTGCATGGGTAAGTGGCATACTAAATGGTTTGGGCTTTTTTTATAATTGTGTTAGCAGAGTGTCCATATCTTTAGAACAGTTTCCTTCGAAGAGGTCAAAGTGAACTGAAAACCTTTCAAAAAGCCCTGATAAATTGTATTGGATTGTCAGAATTACCTCCTTGCTGGCATATTGTTTCAAAAAAATTCTCTAGAGCATCTGTGTTTAATCTTCTGGTAAGCAAGAATGCAAAATTATGTGAGGCATGAAGATAGGTCCAGAGACAGATAATGGCCTTTATAGATATAAGCCATCCTTCAGTGATTTGATTCTGCCTGTGATGTTTTACCATCTTTTACCACTTTGATTCCTGATGAGGACACTTTTTGAGAACAGCAATGTGATTATTGCTGTTGCTTATTGCACTTTTTTGTTCTTTTGTTGATTTCAGTGTGGAACTATTGACGCAATCGAAAAGCGAATCAAATTTGAAAAGCAACTCAGCTGTACCCAAGGCTGATGGTGGTAGTGCTTCAATTGATGAATATGTGCGAATCGATGCAGCAACGGTGTGGCTGAATATTTGTGTAGCATATTTAACTTTCATCTTTTGAAAATTGGTGGGGTGAAGGTACTTATCTGTAAGCTTAGGAGCTGCTCTAATTGAGAGATTTATCTCTCTCATAATAATTTTCAATGTCCTTCCAGCAAGCCGAATATTTTCCAAATTAAAAGGTGCTGTTCTTGAGGTTATTTCCTCTGCACTTGAGCAGATGTGTGGAGGATCGAACATTAGAAATATTTTTCTTCCATTGTGAACAAACCATGGCTTCTCGTTGGTGACATTCAATTTTTGTGACATACTGTAGAAGTTGGACCCCATATCTGATATTACCACACAAATGTTCAACCCAATCAAATCAAGCTGCGAATGACTTCTTTGATCAAATCTTGCAAAACATCAACTGGACAAGATTCATTAACAAGTACATACCCCAAAGGTTGCTTCCAACCACCAGATATGCTTCGCAGCATGAATACAAGACCTGATGTTGCCAATTTGTTTGTTTGATAGCCACCAAAGTCCTCTTAGCCAGGACTTTTAATCGTGATTTTTCAAAGTTTAGAAACATACACTCTTCAAAGTGCTCTTCACACAGTTTGCAGTTATTATAGAGATAATTTGCAGTTTTATTTAACAAGTCCTGGCGTCTAGTGTTTTGAACCCATTTGTTTGATCTAAAGGCATGTGAATGTCATAAGAATTTGTAAAAGTTTATCTTTACATTCAAAACTTACTACATTTACTATTTTACCTTAATGGATCTCGCGGAAAACGAAAGAAGCTTAAGTCAGGTCGAGTTCTTTTGCTGTTAATGCAGTTTACAGCTGAACAATGAAAACCTTGCTCCACCTTTAACTTCTTTTGTCAGCCATTAGTGCTAATAAGTAAATATCAAAGACTGAGTATTATAAATGTAATTAGTTTAGGAAAATTAATACAGCGACAAAGATGTAAACGAAAATAATAATATATATATATATTAATAGGAAGCAAGAGGACAATTTTATTCTTACAACGGAATCAATAATTTCAAATTATCTAAAACATGACAAATATAAGGAACATATAGTTAAGAGCATCTAGAAGTTAGCTACAATCATACAATATAAGAATTTTCCCAACACATATGGCATTGGCATTCAATGCATTGCACAAGTTTGCAATTTCAATGAACATTTATCGAGGTTCGGGATATGACTAAATTTGTCTGAATACTAAAGCACCAACCCAATGTCATACGGAAGACGGATAATATCTGTTAATTTATTGATGGAAAAACACTGTTGACGGCCACGGCAATACATTTTCTACAGGTCTCGAATTGTACA